GAGGTGGAAGGATTGCCTGAGCCCAGCAGGTTGAGGCTGCGGTGACCATAAGCATTCCGTTGCACTCCAACCTGGGTGACAGAGTAAGACTCTGACTCAGAAAAAGAAAAAGAAGACCAATAAATATAATGGGTTCAGATGCAAGCAGACCTCAGTGTGGGCACACATGAAGGTCGTGGCTACCAGCTGTGGCCTTAGGACATCTCTCTGAGTCCACGTCTCTCACTGCATATGTATTTACTTTAAGACTCTCCTACTGATATCTGCCTAGATTTTTTTTTTTGTACCCAGAAAAGGGTCGTGATTTCTAGGGTTGAGTCTTCAGAATATTAGCATTCCTTTGAATGTCCTTCAAAGATATGTTTGTGCCAAGCATGAGGGCTCATGCCTGTCATCCAGGCGCTTTAGGAGGCTGAGGTGGAGGATCACTTGAGCCCAGGAATTCGAGATCATCTTAGGCAATGTAATAAGACCCCATCTGTTTAAAAAAAAATTCAAGGTATGTTTGTGTTGGTAGCCTTTTGAGATGAGAATATTGATCGCTGCAGCATGTTGCAGTGCTGTAGATGGCATGAAGCTGGTTTGATCTGTGTGGACATTTCTCCTTTCCAGTGCTAAGCGAGTCGGACAGAGCCACGCTGCCTGTGATAGCCACTGTTTTTGATAAACTCAACCATGAGTATAAGAAGTATTTGGATGCTGAGCAGAGTTACACCATGGTAAGTCACATGGACTATGAGGAGTGCTCCCTTTCCCCACCTCCACCATTTTTAAGTAATTATAATGCAAAATTGTTTTTCATTTTATTAGAATAACATTACTGAGACTTGACACATGCCAGCGGGCAAAGTGGCAATTGTGAGGGATTCGTGAATTCAGAGTCTCTGCATGCATGAAACAGGGCTGCATCTTACTTAATGCCTTCACCGGCTTTGTCCTTTTCTTTTGAGTCAGAGTCTCTCTGTCACCTAAGCTAGAGTGCAGTGGCATGATCATAGGTCCACTGCCTCGACATCCTGGGCACAGGAGATACTCCCACCTTAGTCTCCTGAGTAGTTGGGACTACAGGTGCGCACCACTAGGCCTGGTTAACTTTTTTATTTCCTGTAGAGATGAGGTCTCACTGTGTGCTCAGGCTGGCCTCAAACTCTTGGGCTCCCGCAGTCCTTTTGCCTCGGCTTCCCAAGATGCCAGGGTTATAGGCATGAGCCACTGCACCCAGCTATTGTTTTCTTAATCTGTTTGATATTACATGTAGGTAATATCGAGTCTCTCATAGAGCTTGCTCTGTTTTATTGATGAGAAAACTAGTTTGGGCTTTGCATTATTTTATACGTCTGCCAAGCCAGAGCCTGGACTTCGTAAATTCAACATATAATTTCTCTCGGCCACACCTTCTTCCTTTTAGAGTGTAATAACTATAAAACTAGAATTCCATCAGTCTGCTACTAAGATAGTGATGATTTAATGTTAGCACTTAGTAGGCATCAAATATTTGTGGAGAAGGGCTGGAAAATGTTCACATGGCCAGTTCCCAAGTTCTGTGTCACTAGTCCGACATCTCTTCTGAAGCTAAAAAGAAGAAACGTTTAAGACAAGTGAGAATTGAATTATTTCACTTTGAAAAGCCTATTAGTCCTAGGGCTAATGGAAGTGGTTTTGCATACAAACCCCTAGAACACCACTGCTCTTTAGCTGTTTAAGAATAAGAGATTTGAGGCAGGCCACTGAAGAAGGCTGGTGCCTGGACAGTGTGTCCCCTGTCCTTTCAGACACGAGGGATGGCTGAGTCCCCTCAGTTGGCCCTGCTGCTGGCATCCTAGGCCGTGGAAATCAGTCTGACCCCAAAGAGCAGTTTGTGCTGTCCTACGCTGTATCTCCTGGGCTCCGTAAACTCTCACCGCTCAGGAGTGTGGGCACTGACCAGCGATGTGGGCAGCACCTGGAGTTTCTGAGAAACGTGGGTTCTTGGGCTGCACCCCACAGTGACTACAGAGTCCGCATGGATCTGAGCTGCTTTAGAACATGAGGCGAGATCGGGTCTCTCACAGAGCTTTTCTACTCAGAAGCACTTGAGGGCTCTGGCTTGCCATGTACAAATCCACACAGACACTTGTTATGCAATCCAGGATTAAGAAAATTGGTAGCTTGGTATGGTGGCACATGCCTCTAGTTCTAGCTACTTGAAAGGCTGAGGCAGAAGGGTTGCCTAAGCCCAGCAGGTTGAGGCTGTGGTGGCCATGAGCGTGCTACTGCCCTCTAGCCTGGGTGACAGAGTGAGACTCCGACTCAAAAAAAAAAAAAAAAAAAAAAAGGAAAGAAAATTGGACAGGGAGTTAAAAAAAATTGTAAAAGGTCACAAAAACAATGATGTGTCTTAAAATTATTACTCACCCTTCCTTAGTTCCATTTGCCAAGAGCATTGGTGTAGTTTCAAGATGAACAACTCTGACTTACTAGATGCTTTTCCAGCTGGCACAGAAAAGTAGTCGTCTGATATAAGCAGTGAGATGAATGTCATCTGTTCACATCTTAGGCCCATATCTAGGGATTCAGCCTTTTTTTGAGTCGGAGTCTCACTGTCACCCAGGCTGGAGTGCTGTGCCATGGATCACGGCTCACCAGCCTTGACCTCCTGGGCTCAGGTGATCCTTTCACTTCAGCCTCCTGAGTAGCTGAGACTGTAGGTGTGTGCCACCACACCTGGCTAATTTCTTGATTTTTTTGGTAGAGACACAGTCTTGCTATGTTATGTTGTCTAGGCTGGTCTCGAACTCCTAGCCTCAAGCAGTCTTCCCACTTCAACCTCCCCAAATGCTGGGATGCTAGGTGTGAGCCACTGCACCCGGCCAGGAATTAATCTTTATGGACAAACTGAAGGGCACCATTCCTCTAGATGATGACTGAGACCCATCTGGTTTCCCACCAGGCAGTAGAAGCGGGGCAGAGCCGAAGCAGCCCACTCCTCAGGAGGCCCGTGCGGACCCAGGCTGTGCTGGACCAGTCTGACATGTACACCCCACGTGCTGTCGCCCTTTGTGGAGAAGAAGGTGGGCTGCAGCTTTTCTGCCTCTTGTGGACTTAAGACTGCCCCAAGCAAAGCAGTTGAGGAAAACCAGGAGACCCCGTAACGGGATTAGTGTCAGTGGAGTGTCCCTGGGTGAGGACCTAGCACCAGGAGTCTGGCTTCTAATACTCAGGCCTAAGACATAAAAGGAGTTCTGGAAGGATTTGTGCAAAACCAGGGAAACATCAACACTGACCCAATTAAATACGGGAATGATGTGGGGCTGGACAAACGAGTTCCGGGTCCTCTCTGCAACTGATATTTATACAACCACCCCATTTTCTCTACAGGACATGCCTCACAAGTTTGTGATAGCTGTGCTGATGGAGTACATTCGCTCTCTCAACCAGTTCCAGATTCCAGTACAGGTACCTTCAAACTGTCATCTGTAGTCCCAAGTTAGAGAAGCAGGGATTTATTTTTTTTCAAGCACGGCTGATAACTCAGATGACTCTCGTATATGCTGAAAGGGTCCACATGCTTGCCTCAGAATTCTTCGTGGCTTTCCTAACACCCTTAATGTCCTCAGCAGTTGGAAGAAGTGTAACATCAGGTTGGGTTCTTTGACCTGCACCATGAATGAAATCACTTCTTGAGATAACTGAAACTTTTGCCCCGTTGGTTAGAAGGGCCGCAGTCCTCAGGTGGCCTCCAGTCTGCAGTTGGGAGCGATCCCGACCCATCCTTCACGTCTTCCTTCTTCTGTCCTCAGCATTACTTACATGAACTTGTCATCAAGACGCTTGTCCAGCACAACCTCTTTTATATGCTGCACCAGTTCCTGCAGTACCACGTCCTCAGCGACTCCAAGCCCTTGGTAGGCATGGCCAGATTTGCACTTCGGTTGTGATTAAAAATGGAAAGTTATTGTAACCCTTCACCTTCCAACTGAAGCTGGTCTGAAATGTGTCTTTCAGGCTTGCCTGCTGTTATCCCTCGAAAGCTTCTACCCTCCTGCCCATCAGCTGTCCCTGGACATGCTGAAGGTAAGGGGCCTGTGCATTTCAGACGACAAAGCTGTCTGTCTGTGTTGTTTTACACTGACCCGGACTTCTTTCCCCTTCCCTCCCAGCGGCTTTCGACAGCCAACGATGAAATAGTAGAAGTTCTTCTTTCCAAGCATCAAGTGCTGGCTGCCTTACGGTTTATCCGGGGCATCGGTGGCCATGACAACATTTCTGCACGAAAATTTTTAGATGCTGCGAAGCAGACTGAAGACAACATGCTTTTCTATACTATATTTCGATTTTTTGAACAACGAAACCAGCGTTTGAGAGGGAGCCCTAATTTCACACCAGGTGAGTACACAAGTAGTGAAGACTTGGGGAACCACAGCCTCAAATAGTAGCAGAAGGCACTGGCAGCTGGCAGGAGATAACTCCTGGGTTAGCTTTTTTGTAAACAACAAAATTTCGTAACAGCGCGCCTTGCCCACAGCCCATGATCTGTATTCAAGTGAATTTCTGTGCGCTTTGGAATCTGAATTACAGTCTGGAACTCATGGAGAGGGGGCGCTTTGGGTGGAGACACATTCAGGGCCTGTTTCATGAAGGCAATCTAGACACGGCACATATATGACAGCTGATCTTGGAATAAGCAAATACTGCCGGAGGTTTTAAATGCCCCAGGATTATTAAAGTACCTCTTCAGCTTTAGGCCGGAAGCACTGGCTGCTTGTTCTGTTTTTTAATAGAAAATCTAGGACATCTTTAGGATAGGGAAAAACTCCTTAACCATTAAGCTTGAGTTTGACTCTGTTTTAGGTCTAACCAACTTTTAGTTTAATTAGTGCACAGTGCAAAATGGCACCTTGTTACCATAATGACAGGTCAGAATCTCTTCTGCTTTGCCTTTCTACGTGTCTCAAAGCAGATGGTGACTTGCTAGGGCTTGTGAAGATACCAGTTTTGCAACAGAAAGGGCAACCCGAAGCTTAGGAAAACAAAATATTTTATTAAAGAAAATAAGTTAAAACCCAGTCCACACACCCGTGAGCTGCATTCTCTTTCTTCCTTGCTTTTTTGGGCCACATCTGATGACTGATGTCTTTCCCTTACAGGCGAGCACTGCGAAGAACACGTTGCTTTTTTCAAACAGGTTTTTGGAGACCAAGCTCTAATGAGGCCTACGACATTATGAAATCACTTGCTAGTTTGTTTTTTCTTTTTTATAAAAATGTGTACAAAGTTAATTTATTGCATTAATAAAGCTCTTTAAACTACAAAATATAATAAAGTGTATCTACAGCCTCAATGTCACTAAAAATATGGCATAGAACTTGTGTGATGGCTAACTCCTAAAAAAAGGAGACCGTGCATGGACTGGCCTTCTAAAAGTATCCGCAAGTGGATCACATTCACAGCCACCTTAGCATCACCTTCTGCTGGCCAGAGAATGAGGTTTCTTTCCCAAAGGAGCTGAGAGAGGTTTCGTGTCTCGTGGTTGCCCTCGGATTTAGTAATACTGCTTCTCAAGTCAGCTGTGCATTCCTGAGTGTACAAGTGTCAAACAGCCCAATGCCTGGTGACATCGGTGTTCAACGGGACTTGTTGACGCAGCTCCTGTCCAGTGGTAAATTGTCCCTCAGACACAGTTCAAGTCACCAAACCTGTGAGGGGCTAGAAGTTCAGAAGTCGTTCTCGCTCTGTTCCTTTGAATCGATCTTCAGTGGCATGCCTTTTGGCTTTGTTTATTGATGGTCCTGTGAGAGAGAAAAAGAATAAGTCTGTGCTTTCTTCAGGAGAAAAGGAGATAGTATGTACTGGATTCTAATAGAAGTAGTTTCTAATCCCCTGGGATGAAAAACAGCCCCTCATTTTTAGATCTATTTCAGTGCTTTAACTTAGTCACAAGCTACAAATCAAGCAAATGAACACTCTTCTCCCAGCCATGGTTATTTGTGCATGCTAAAGTGGCCACAGAAGTAAAAAGGACATAAGGACAGTTTCAAAATGAGAGACGGGTAACAAAGACTGTTCTGCTAAGAACAGTATATGAGGAAAGGAAATGGAAAGCTGTTCCACAGCATGGCTGGTGTGTGACTTGACTGGATGGGCCGTCTGTCTCTCAGCAGTAGGGAGCAGCCGCCCAGGCCTGCTGACACTCAGATTCATTCCCGGGCCGACTTTGGGCCTTTGTGAAGCAACAAATAGGTCTCCAAAAAACATGAGCAACTTACTAATGAAGGAGTTTACACAGTTGTGAAGCCCCTGGATGGGAGTTTTTTCTCTCATAAGTTTTCTACTCAGTACCATTTATCCAATGACCATTTACTGTATAAGTTCAAATACTTCAAAAAATGCCTCAAGATATAATTTTCTTTTAGTAACATGCTCCCTCCTGTGCCCTCCTGTGAAGATAAGAATGCTTACCTATGTAACTGAGCAAGACGGGGAGAAATACCAATCCATGTGTGGCTCCCAGTAAGACCATAGCTAAATACATCCGGAAGTAAAAAATCTGGAAAATTTGAGACTTGGCAAAGGCCAACACCACAATCCCTCCAAATTTTGTAAGTGTGATTCCACTGAATACCTGCAAGATGAGATAGTGTTAGAAACCACTTTTACCAACCTATTATAATTGAATATGTAATAGGTCCAGAGTAACGGGGACTGAACCCCAGCTTTCAGAGTTGCTGGAGTAGTGTTACAGTCTCCTTAAAATGGTTTTTAGTTGCTGCTTTATGAGTCTGGGGAAGAGGGTGGTATCACTAAGGTAAAAGTTGTGTGTTCTGTATAGACACGTGTGTCTCTAAAATGAAGAGATTTCTTTATATTCTCAGATGAAAATATGAATGAAAATATGAATGAAAATATGAATGAAAATATTCTCAGATGAAAATACCTCTGCACTTGGAGGCATCTTGCAGATTACCTACCAGCAACTTGACTGCACTTTTTAATGAAATGGTGAAAAACGAACTACTTCATATTAAATAGTATGTGCTGGCCCCAATTATTTTATTGTAGTTATACTTGGCTTATGATGGATGGGATTTTGGAACTTGAGGAACTTATTTATGACCAAAAAAACCCAAAATTTTATATCTTAATACTTTTCTAATGTGTGTGGTACCTTGTGAAACTGTCATCCACATGCATTGCAGGTTCCTTGATACATGTTGTGCAATAGTAATTTGACCAAGTCTTCCACTTGGTGTTTTTCTATTCAAGCAGATGATGCAGTCTCATTTTCTTCCTCCCACATTAATAACATGTCATGTATTGTCCAGTCTGTGGTTCAAAGTCTATGTGGAAGGACATACTCGTGATTCCTGAAAACCACTTCTCAACTGATTGATTGGAAGCCTGACAAATTTCAAATAGGACATAGTTTTTTTCATTGTTTTTGAGTGGAAAACTTCAAGGAAATATAGATTTTTGAAATTTGTGCTTGCATAAGTTTGTCTTGTATAATCATCAGCAATCTCTTTATGTCTCCTCAGAGGAGACATCTTAGTGGTTTGCTAGATTGACAATGTCCCCTCAGAGGGGACATCCGAGTGCAAAGGGTAAGTTCCTAAAATGGTTATAAACAAAGTTTTAGTACTTTTTTTGAGTCAGGGTCTCACTGTGTTAGCCTAAGTTGAAGTGCAGTGGCACGATCCTGGCTTGTTGCAGCCTCAATCTCCTGGGCTCAGGCAATCTTCCCTCAGCCTCTTGAGTAGCTGTGACTACAGGCGTGTGCCACCACACCCAGGTAAGTTTTTTGATTTTTGGTAGAGACGAGGTCTTGTCCAGACTGGTCTTGAACTGGCCTGCACTGTAAATGGAGGCGAGTCCAGCTCTCTCAAGTCTAGCTTTTCTGTTATTTTCCTGCTTCAGCCACACTGCTTCCTGGAAAGGAGGCACGCCAGCAGAACGTTCAACAGAACATCAGTTCTGTTCAAGATGTGGCTACTCTCGGACTGCTGAAAGACTGCAATTGTCTTTCAGCTTTCTAAGTAAAGGCCCCTGATTCTGCAGTAACATGGTGCTGCAGCTTCTGCCTGCGATGATACTCACGGAGCTGCCCATGTGGGCGAGGGCCTGCTCTGCGCGCTCCACGCGGCTGCCTTTCGTGCTCACCGTGAACGCCCTTGTTATGTGGCTGCAGAACTCCACCGAGATGCCGCAGCTCTGAAACAGAGGGCTGCCTTTAGAATGGCTCTTCCTGTTGAAAGGCTAAAGCTACCACCTCATTCCCAGCATGGGGAGAATGGGGAGCCCTGGGTAGTTGTAAAGGCCCCCAGCACACCTACCTCAGCTGTGCCAGGAAGTTTTGGGGCCCGCTGGGCACAGCCCAATGCCCTGGCTTTCTATGGCACATTCCTTCTGTCAGGGAAAGCTGCTGAAACCCCTTAAGGTTGCCCACTTTCCCCGAGCAAGCACACTGTCATGACTTCTGTATGTGGGCCTCACAGCATGCCACCTGAAGCAGGCATATCCTTTTTTTTTTTTTTTTTTTT